CATGATGGAAATCTGCAATATTGTATGAAAACTTAGGTATTTACCTGGATACAGCCAAGAACATGCCAACCATTTCTGAAATAGAATATTTTCATAACCATTAGTATTTCTCATGCTATTTTTATGTAGACAAAACCTGTCTCCTTTGTCTCATTAGCTGTATTTTTACATACACACACATATACACACTTGCATATACATAAACATATACACATTCATACACATAGCATGGGCACACACGTAAACATATACATGTATGCACACATGAACACAAGTGGCACATACATATTTACAAGTGAATATTCACACGCATATACACAGATACTATCTGCTTTTTCTCTAAATTCAGAAGTAATAGTATACTGTATGCACAGTTGCAAGCTTATGCTGGTCTTGAGTTTCCTTTTTGCTATCCATAGGCCATTAGAATATTTACTGATTTTACCCTTTCCTTTTGGTGTGATGTTGTGTATCCAGAGAGGTATGATTCCATCCTTGAATGTGAAATATCATCTACCATAGGTTCTTTTATCCCTAAGTTTTTTGTCTTATGTAATAAGGGTATTTCTTACCTCAAATTATGAAAACGAGCTGGGCAGTGGTGGTGCATGCCTTTAATCCAGCACCTGGGAGGCAGAGGCAGGTGGATTTCTGAGTTCGAGGCCAGCCTGGTCTACAGAGTGAGTTCCAAGACAGCCAGGACTACACAGAGAAACCTTGTCTCGAAAAACAAAACAAAACAAAACAAAAAAAAATATGAAAAAGATTTGTTTTGTTCTCAAAAAACCAATTTTTATCTTTGAAAATTACTTTACATCCTAAGATATACTATGTAAGTGGAGGGATTCATATTGCGTCTTGTGTGTGCCTGTGCACAGCTTACGTAAGTATATCCATGTCTCTATGATAGTATGTGGGTGTTGTGTGAGGTACGGAGATCTATAGTACTGTGTCTTCATTTACCCATTATTTAATCAAAACCCAAATTTGTCAGAATTTTAACCTTACACATTACGTATTTCATCTTTATTCCTTCTCTGACTTCAGAGGGGAAAGAAAACATAAAGCAAAACATAGGGGTTAAGTAAGAAGTCTACATTGTCTGGGATCACATTGACTCACAGGAAAAATGTAGCAGGTTTCTACTTATCACAATCTTTTAAAATTTTATATAGCCTTATGCTTTAAAAAGCTATATAAAGCATTAGTGAAAATTAATTTTCAGAAAGCATGACACATGTGAAGAGATTCTGCCATCTCTGTGCTGGAATGACTTCATTGTTCCAAAGTGAGATATGAAAATTATTCTGTATTTGCTTTTGCAAAGTTGGCTTTCAATTAATGAGATTTTTGGTTTTTGTTTTTTTTGTTATTGTTTTGTTTTGTTTTTGCTTCTTGTTGGTTTATTCTGAAGTCCCATAAGCATTCACCTTAGAGGAAGAAATGCTGTGAGCTGAGTAACAGTGTGTTTGACCTCTCGGCTATCCACTCTGGATTTGGTCTGTTCAGATTTTCTTCACTCAGTGTGGTCCTCACTTAGGTTATGAGGTGAATGTCTAAGACAAAAAACATTATCTCAAAATACGTGCGAAAAGAATCCATTTGGGACAATTAAAACCTGGAATTTCCTCTTGAAATTTAACCAGGAATGTTTGGGATCTTAAAAGTATATTGGAGTGTTAAAATCTTTTTTTGAGTTGCAACATTTATAGTTGTGAAACTAAGATTAAGAAGTTAGCAAGAGGACTAACTAAGATTAAGAAGTTAGCAAGAGGACTAATATTCTGTTAGAATATTTGCTGATTTTACCTTTTTCTTTTGGTGTGATGTTGTGTATCCAGAGAGGAGAGATGGCTCAGAGGTTAAGAGAACTGACTGCTCTTCCAGAGGTCCTGAGTTCAATTCCCAGCAATCACATGGTTACTCACAACCATCTGGATTGAGGTCTGATGCCCTCTTATGATGTGCCTGAAGACAATGACAGTGTACTCACATATGTAAGGTAAAATTAATAAATCTTTAAAAAAAAGAAATTAGCAGGAAATAATTCATTCATAAATAACACTTTACTAAGATCTCTTTCTTTTCTCTTACATAATCTACATTTTCACTGAATTAGATGGTGATGTAAGGAACAGATGGGGAGATAGGGCTGGTAAGATGGCTCAGTGGGTCAGGGTACTCTTTGCTAAGCCTGAGGACCTCACTTCAATTCCTGGAATCTACATGATAGAAAGAGAGACACAACTCATGGATCACATGCACCCATACCTCCCCATATACACAGTTAAAATGTAATAATAATGAAAGACTATGTGGTTGACTGAGTTCAGCATTCTGATTTCTCCACCCACACAAATACCCATGGTCCTCACTGGTTTGCTGTTCAGTACGAGCAGCTCTTTTGTCAACAATTAAAATTCTGCTAGGGTTTTCATCACAGTTTTGCTTTTATTTCCTCAAGAAAAGCATGGCTGACTAGTCAAAAATGCCCACATCGCCAATTTACTCAAGTGACTGAGGCAAGGCCAATCAGAAGGGTAATTTGCCTTGATGAAAGAAGGTGGGGGAGGGCTGCACAGTGGGAACACTGTGACCCTAGAAGAGGGTACAAAAGTGACAGTGCCTGGTCCTGCCATTCCACAGAGCACCTACAGAGGAGCACATCTGGTCTACCAAGAAGTGGAGAGGAGGCAGTGGCAAGAGTCTGGTGAAGAGTTTTAACTTTCTTCTCCTGTGCCCCTTGGACATCCCTCTTCTGTGAGTCAGTACAAGCTCTCTGGTATTTAAGATAACGTGATAAGGATTTCTCTCCCTGTTACCTAGACACTCCCAGGTTTGCAACATATAGAAATTATAACGTGATATATTTGTTGAAGGCCATTTTATTGCTGAGTTCTTACTAGGTGAATGGGTACACCTGGACTCCACTGAGCATATGTGTGTTGATTTGCTCATTCTTGCTCAAGATGCTAGAGATGCTCTGTGATCTCACTGCAGAGTTCTGAGTTCAGCTCTCTGACTCTCACAGTCTGATATTGATGGGAGTATGAACAATTAAGTGAGGGAGGGTATATGAACATGTCCACATGGAAGGACCACTCAACACCACCAGTTTGAAATATGACTTTTTTTCCTCCCTCTGTATCTCTGTGTTCAACTTTCCTAGTCTCTCCATTTTCTACTGTGTGCTCCCATCTACTGACCTTCTCTATAAATTTCTATGGCCTTTCCTAATTGATAAGATCAGAATGCAAATCTACAATTAGCAGCAAGTGTCTTCTCACTTTTCTTACCCATGGGCTAGAGTTTCTTGGTTGCTATAGCTGCCATTCAAGAGGGAGAAGATGCTAAAAATAAAAGGTAAATAGAATTTCTATTCTTTGGCTGTTCCAATGTTAGCAATATATAAGAAGTCTTTGTCAGAGCTTATGGTAAGAAGTGTACAACTTCTTACATTACTATCTGTGTTACTGTCTTAAGATTTAAATTTACTTCAACAATGTACTTATTAGCTGCTCAGATTCCGTTCTTCCTAACTCAGAATGATTTCTTCTCACTGAAGACTCGTATCTCTGCTGTCAAGTTCTAAGTTCAGCAATCCAAACACCCTTTCTCTGGAGTATAGTCAGCAAAGGGTACAACTGGGGTAGGAAGCCACAGGCAAAAATCTGTCTCAGAAGCCTACTCGAAGTAGAGAGAAGGTCCTTGCTTTCCACTGAGAGAAAAATCTTGGAGAATTAGTGAAAAACAATCATATTTGGGATAGGAATACACAAGACAAATGGATCTGGATGTTCTCTACAAAAGATGGTTTTCTAGACTAGTGCGTAGACTAGGCGTCATTGCTTATTTTAGCAAATGGGAAGAGCCTCTGGATAGGTGTTGTCACTCCTCGGTTTCCTATAGAAAGATCTTTAAAATGTATCACAATTAACCAGGCAGGATTCATGACAGACATCACTAAGACACACACAATATTTTTCTTTGAAATTATCTTGTATCTTATGTCATTGGCTTAGCATTGAATTGATAAGCAAAGACATTTGCTCATAAACTTGTAAAGGGATATACATAGAAACAGCAGACTGAGGGGGTGAAGAGATGTAGAGAAATCCAAGTAATAAAATAACTGAACTCTCTACTGTTGAGATTAGCATAACTATAAATAGTGATGTGGACTGGAGTTCAAGGTAGAAAAACACAATTAAAACAGGAACAATAAAGTTTACCTGGGAGTGGGAGGAAGCACCAAGGAAAGTAGTAGACAGTAGATGAAGGACTTTGGAGATGGAAGGTGTGACGTGGCAAAACACTGAGAAGGGGCTTAAAACAGACAGACCAGGTGGCATTGGAGCAGAAATAGAGTCAGCCAAGGAGCTAGCTCAGTGTATGTCTACTGTGCTGCTGCTGGTCTTCCTTGGCTTCTTCAAGACATCTGCGGTCAGATGTGAGCAAGAAGAGAATGAGATGGGCAGTGTTCCTTGTCAGAGCAAGATCAACAAGGAGAGGCTGGATCATTTCTGAGAAAATTATTAATTTCTGGAAAGAGGTAAAATGTGTTTGTTCTGGACAAACAGAGCAGGAGAAGTTCCTCCGGGGCCACTCTCTCCTCACTGGGGGGGGGGGGGGGGCGGGTCTGCCCTCTCTACAAGCCACTCCTATCCTTTTACTGCTTTCCTTTCCACCTGCATTTCCTCTTACCTCCCCTCACTTCCTCCCACTCTTCTTCTTTAGCTCTGTCTCTTTCTTTTCCATTTCTCGATTTTATCTGCTACTCAATACTAACACACTTATTTTAGAGTCAACATTAGGGAGATCTTCAAATAAATTCTGAAATCTCAAGTCTGATAATTTTTCAATGAGCTACATTCTCATAGTGACAAACAGTGAGAGTTCATATATGTGGTCTTTGTGTGGAAATAGGCAAAAAAAAAATTTATCCTAAAAGAATGTATCTATTCACATACAACTTTTGTTTCTGCAGGCAGAAAAAAAAAATGAAGTCTCTGGTCATCATGTTCTCATGGCCTTTGCCACTGCTGCTGCTGCTGCTGGCGCCACTGACGTTGCAGGGGGACTATTGGGATGACAGGGAATATGAAATAGACCCAAAAATACGTGACTTCTTAAGAGAATTTGAGAATACAGGGCCTACCAAACCACCTACCAAAGAAAGAATCATAGAAATGATCACTGTTGGTGAACTACTTTTACCTTTAGATTACCCTGATTACTGTAACATTGCACTCAAGACTAAACAGATTCACTATAAGGGGCGCTGCTACCCAGAACATTACATTGTAGGAGTGTCCTATCAAGAGCTAACAAAAGCCTGTTATGGTGAACGAGTGCAGTGTAGAAACGGCGTTGAATTTTGCAGAAGAAGCATGGATCTAACACAGGGAGTGCGATGTGTTTTAGACAGTGGAGAGAAGATGACAAATTGCACATATCAAAACATCCTCATGACCGGTTATCCAATTGTCACTTGTCAATGGGACGAAGACACCCAAGATTTTATTCCTAACCATATACATAATATGTCGCTACCGGAGTAGCTGGAAAGCATTGTATACCAGAAATATCTCTCTCTTCACTCCCAACATTCTAGGTTTCTCTGAGCAGTTACAAGTGGGAATAGCTCACCCTTTAGAGACTGATGCTGTTACTCAAAACTGAGAGTGGTGGGTTTGGTCCATTCACTCTAACCATGCACCTCCTTCCTTTTCTGTCCCCAAAGCACTGAATGTCGCCATGGGTTGTGATCACAGAACTCTAACAGGTGTTTTCATAAAGATCACAGAATGAGCCATGACAGTAAGTCTCCAGCAAACAGATGACAAGCATGAAGAGAAGCAGGGACTGGGTGTGTGTGAGAGTTCAGGTTAATGCCTTCCTTCAGTACTTTGGAAGCTAAGCAGAAGTTCCTAAGTTTGAGGCTTGTCTGTGCTATCAGGCAAAACCCTGGCATGATCAAACCAACAAATAAACATGCTTGGGACAGCTGTCTGAAGATCATCCAAATTTTCATCTGATTTTTCTGGTTCGGCATGAAAAAATAAAATGCTTTACCCTAGTGACTTTCTCTGGGGATACCTATGGGGGTTTCTAGGGCTGGATGGCTTTTTACATAAACAACTTCAGCTTCTTCCAGACTTGAACACAGTGCATCTTCCCAGTGCTGTGTTTACGTGTGGTTCACTTTTCACGGTCTTCATATTTAACACAATACATGGGACCATGAAGGAGGAAATCCAGGTAATGAGTGCCTCAGATCAAAGCCTTTATTAAGTACATAGGAAAGCCAACTCCCCAGAGCTCTGTCTGGCTGTCAGTGTGTGTGAGAAGCCCACACCTTGCTGGAGCTCAGACATAAGTCCTCACTAAGACTTTCTCATTAATTGGTAAATTAAGGCCTGGGTCCGGCAGTTCTTTTCATTTTTTAAAGAGAAAGGCACAAGGAAACCTTGCTTCCAAAAGCCTTACCTGAGAGGCTTTTGACTGTGATGTTGAGTAAGTAAAGGTCCTCATGAGCTCTTTTGACCCTTTGTGACACCCCTACACTACAATACAGCCTTGACAGTGAGCTGCAAAAAATTCTTCACATGACTGGCCTGTTATACACTGTGAACCATTTCATCTGGGCCATGAGGACATCATGAATTCTTTGAATTTTTCCTGTATACACAATCATACTTATAAGAGTATAGTATAGCACTATTGAGGCATGAAAAGAGTCATGTAGCTCCCACTCCAGAACTGCTCATCTTATCCAATACCTTTTAAAAATACCTATAGACATGGGGCCAGGGATGGTGGTGCATGCTGTTAACCCCAGCACTCAGGAGGCAGAGGCAGGGTGATCTCAGTAAGTCAGAGGCCGACCTCATCTACATATCAAACTCCAGGACACCTAGGACTTTATAGAGTGTCCAGTCTCAAGATAGAAAAGAAAAAAAAAAAGAACTACAATTATGGTTATATGGATTTTTCTTTTTAACTTATACAATATAAGAAATTCAGAAACTGGCCTCAACTCATTGGATACCCTACCAAAGCCTAGTGTGCTTTGAATGTGTTCTACAGTTGCTACTAAATGGGATACTAACAGAGAGTTGAGGTTTTAAAGATAATTGTGTAACAAAGGATCATTTCTCCTAGATAGAATTAAGACTACACTAAGGATAGTCTCATGTAGGTTCCAGGTATCTTCTTTTATACATTTTCCATACATCAAGCATCCTGTGTGTATACTTAGAAAAGCCAATCGTTTTCCTTATCCACAAAGTAGAGGCATCAGACAATATATTACCTTTAACAAACAACCATTTCACTTACAATTTTATCATTTCCACTCCACTGAAGGATAAAGTCGTAGAACCAAGAACTTTGCTGTTACTACACAGTAAGGACTTGTCTATGAATCTTCTTGGTGCAATTTTAATGATGATTTCTTGTGAAGTCAAGACAAGCAGTAAGCCTGACCACAGTATTATCCCTACCACAATCACAATACCTCATAGAATATTTTTCCATTATTACATAAGTGACTCAGAGCATTTTCATCTACTCTGTCATTTTGTTCATTTTAAGGCTAGGTTACAATAAAGGAGTCAGGGATGAGATTTGTCTCAGTGGCAAAACATTTTCTGGGCAAGTATGATGCTCCGGATTTGATATTCAAACCACAAAAAATTTAAAACAGCAAAGACTGGGTGTGGTGGTGCTTGCCATTAGTCAAAAGTACTCAGGAGGGCAGGTGGGTCTGTGTGAGGCTGAGCTGTTCTACCTGGTGGGGTGCTTGCCAATGGATCTACATAGTGAGACTCTGTCTCAAACAACCAAAGCAACAAACCCTCAGGTAAAAGCTTCCTCCCCGCCCCCCACTTTTTTTTTGTTTAAATATATTCCTAGTCACTTCTTAGTCAAACAACTCACGATCAACAAAGGGACAATACAGTTCGTTCTAACACAATTTTCTGTCTTTAGGATACATCTTTTAGAACTGGTGAGATGGCTCAGCGGTTAAGAGCACTGACTGCTCTTCTAGAGGTCATGAGTTCAATTCCCAGCAACCACATGGTGGCTCACAACCATCTGAAATGAGATCTGATGCCCTCATATGGGTGTCTGGAGACAGCTATAGTCTACTCACATATAATAAATAAATAATCTAAAAAAAAAAAGGTACATCTTTTAAAGACTAAGAATGTATATAGCTTGGTAGAGTACTAAATGACCATGTATGAAACTCTGGTTTTGACTTCCAGCATAAAACTGGGAATGGTGGCACATGCCTGCTATCCTAGGAATAATACACAGCAGGTAGGAATAAGAGGATCAGAAATTGATGGGTATTTTTAATTATATAATTGCTTTGAGGCCTGCATGGGGTACATGAAACTATGTCTCAATAAATTAATTAATTTAATTAATAAAAATTAAAAAAAATCTTACGGCAGGTTATGTTTTTAATCTCAGGTATACTTGGAAGGCTAAGGAGGATTGTGGTAAGTCTGAGGCCAACCTGTCAAGTTTTAGGCTAGTCTTAGCTGCATAGTTAGATCCGATCTCAAAATAAAATAAAAAAACAGAGAGATAGATACAAACACTTCTCATATATTTGAGATATACACAATTTAACATTTAAGAGCAATCAATAAAGAAACATCACTCACTCATTCCATTCGGGACAGTCATTTTTTGATCTGCACTGACTTTGAGAGTGCATATCCTCCTCCTGATTTTACAGCTGGAAGATTACAAAAGCTGGTAAACACTATGAAGTTCCCCTTAAGAGATCAAAGCAGGTATCTCTATCAGCATAGAGTCTGCCAGGAGTGCTTCCTGTCGCATCAAAAGAATAAATAAGCTGTGTCCAATATAAGGTTTTCAACTTGAGGATATCTGACCCCTAATGCCAGGTTTCTAAAAGACTTACATGTTTTCTAAGAATTTGTTTATACATCCTAAGTGAGCAAGGGTGCTCACAATGTTAGCACAGGAACATTTGTATCTACTCCTATTTCAAAAACAGCAAACATTTAGACTACCAATGTCTCAGAGTCTCTCTTCCTGTTTTACTGAAATACACTGGTTTTAAATAGGTAGAATTAAACTGCCACTTTACTAAAGGTTTTGCTATTGCAGCTTGGGTCTTTATCAATAGAAACCAAGCTATATTAGGGTTTTCTGCTATTTCACATTCTATTCTCAGTCATTACCACTTAGTGATATTTTAAGTACTCAGATGAATAAATGAAAAATCTTTAAATCTTTATATTTATATTCTGATGAGCCAATTCTTTTTTGTTTTTTCCACACATACTCCAGCAGGTCCACTTCAGTTTTACTAGGTTATTGAAGATATTACAAGGGACATATTTGTCAAAAATTTATTCTGAACTAAGATATTGGAGGAACATTTATGGTTTAATTTTAGATAAATGGACATTGAACATCTATTTGTACCTCACTTGTAGAATGCCTGTTCTTTACAGTTTAGGAAAGACTGCAGTGATAAAATGAACTAGGTCCAGATCTTAGACTATGGGCATGGTAGCCTTTCCCAGGGACTAAGGAGTTGAGAGAGTGGTTTGGATTAAAGTGTGGCCTCCAGCACCCATCATGCCCATTAAACAGACAATGCTAGTGAAAAGCATAGAAAAGAGATGAATCCATTGTAACTACATTGAGAAGACAAACAAATAAAGAGATAGGGTAGCCTACCATGCCCATTTTCAGAATTGTGACATGAGATTAGGGGTAAACAGGAAAAAAAGAATAGTATAACCAAGCAATCCTGGTCATAATGTGTCCCAAGCATCATCATTATATTGGCTCTAGTCTCTTTTGTAGTGTGGTGCAAATCATCAGAAGAGAGTGAAATCTTTCTCAGAGACCAGCTCTCCCTTGAGGTGACACCAGATTCTAGACTTTTCTTTCTTCTAGCATGAGACTTCCATGGAGATTCCAATTTCATGGGACCTATTAGCTCAGAAGTCTGATAACTGAAAGCAGGAACACATGGGTCTCTTTAGAATCTCATCTTTTGCCAGCACAGTTGCACCAACAGTACACATTTCCAATCCTTAACCTTTGGTGATCTCTTACAATAAATACACTGGCAAATGGTCAAACTACAACAATGAGTTTTCAGAGAAATGGACACCAAGGCTACCTCACCTGTTGGATCTTTTCCTCAGACTTTTGAGATGACTTATAGTGATACAAATTCAACAAGCTAATTAAGGCCTTAGACAGGTAACTCTGTAAGTAGCTTTGCTTAGAAACTATAGTGACTCTAGCAAAGGCTGTATCAAAAAAGTGTCTCAAATATGTAAAAAAAAAAAAAAACAACAAAGTATCCTATTTGTATAAGAGACTATAAAGACCGAATCAGAAAATACTTAGAAATGATGAACACTTTTAAGAAAGTATTAGGACACAAAAGCAAAATCCAAAAATCAATGGCTTCCCTAAAACATTAGTAGTGAACATACTGAGGAAAAATAAGAGGGGGAAAATTCCACTTAAAATACCTTTAAAAATATATAAA